GCAGCTTTGCTTTATTTGCTGTGATACGTGGGTCAAAAGTAGTTTTACAATGTTTTAAATTAAGAAAGTCCACCTCAAAACATTGTCTATGCAGTCAGTTCATCAAGATTACGATCCTGCCTTGAAATATTGTCGCAGCCGTCCCCCCTCCCCACAAAGCGGTGATGTGCTGTCACTAGGAATCCCCACCAGCAGCACCTCAGGCCCGGTCACCTCTCTGGTTTTTTCCACATTGTGGCTGGAAGTGGACGTTAGCGTTTTTCAGGTATGTGGTACAAACTGCAGGCACCATAATAATAAAAGCAAACATATAATTGGGCGGCAGGTTTCGAAATTTTAAGTTAATTTAGATGCTAATTAACAGTTTCAGAGGAGTGATCATAGAGCTATGCATCAGCAGTTCTGTGTCTGTACCCCATGCCAGGTCCCAGATCAGCTTCTCTGATTGGTTGATGTGGTGTGTCAAGTAAAATTTTGTTAACTCTAGAATTTGCTTCAGATCCTTAGATGCGTCAAGATGAGCTACTCGTGGGCGTGCTGGTGGCGCATCTGTTAGCTCGCATGACCGACATACAGAGGCTTTAGTCCTTGAGGCGGCCAGCCAGGGTTCGAATCCGACCTGTGGTCCTTTGCTGCATGTCTCTCCCCCTCTCTCATACCCCTTTTCCTGTCACTCTACTGTCAACATATTCTCATTATCAGTTCCTATGAAATCGTACGAAAAGTTATGCACACTATTTCGTACGTTTTGGACGTTTTTCCTCAAAAAACCACATCAGTGCGCATGCGCTGGCAGACAGAAAAAAAAGCAGATCCGCAGACGGATGTAAAAATGGGAAAAACAGTGCAATGATCACTTATTCATGTCTCTAACTACGTTGCTTGCTGTTTTATATCTTAGGAATAGGGTTAGGGCTAATTGTAATTTATATTCTATATTCGTGAATGGTGCGTCAGATGCGCATGCGCATACGACAAAAAAAACGTCCAAAACGTACGAAATTACGGTGCATAACTTTTCGATTTCATACGAACTCATAATGAGAATACACTGCTACTGTTGAAAAAACAAACCACTAGTGCCGCAAAAACTCACAAGATGTGCCACTTGAGACGCGCTGCAGGACCTTTTGATGCACCTATTTTGCATGTAAACCGGCTGCTTCTGCAGCTCTGATCGCGTTTGGTATAAACGTAGCATTACTGTAGCTTCTTCATGGGAAAATAAAGGGACACGTTTTTGAAGTTAACTTCGTTTAGAAGGTTATGAGCGCATGTCTTACCTGCAGTAGATGACTCATTCAATGAAAATCTAGAGTAGTTTACGAATAGCTGATCTAAAAGGTTCCTAATATCAGAGCAAACCTCTACATTGTGAAAAAAAACTCAGTTCTCCAAAAAAGCCGTATTCCTGTATGAAACAGGTACTGAAAACAGAACATTTTGCTTTTCCAGTCAAAGTAATGTCTGATCAAGAAATTTAAAATGAGCATAGCAATGAATATTTCATTATTTCTTTGTTGTAAAAAAAATCCTTCTGTGAAATAAATATTGGAAAAATAGAGTGGCTATTTATGATATTTTGGCATTATTGACCATCTGGCTTGAACAGAACACTTGATCCCTCAAATGTTTAACAGGTTTGGTTGTAATGTCTGATTAACCGTCCTCTGTGAGGATGTGCATTGAAATCTTGGAGGATAAAGTTCAGTGCCTAACAGAGGGGTGATATGGGACTGCAAAACGTTGCAACATTTCCTCTCCATATGTCTCTGCGATCAGATTGCCTCCAGTGATGAGTGGGCTTGTTTTTCAAAAGAGGGAAACTCCTTGCCAAATCATCACAGTTTTTTAGTTTGCCATTGGCAGAAATGATTTGGAAAGTTTTTTTTTTATTGGCACACCCCACAGTGGCATTTCCTCTACAAACGTGGCATAAAAAGGAAATTAACAGGTCTGTCAATAGTGTAAGGTTAATTGCCAAGATGCATTGTCACAACTGAAAAAAGTGAGGACCAGAAATGCTCTATATTCCATCTACAGTAGGGCTGGGCAATTAATTGCATTGGTAATATAATCGCAATTCAACAAAACACAATTTTCAAATCAATTTTGATCATATTACATTTAAAAGGAGCAAGTTGCTAAATGTATTCCACCCGTGGTAATATGCTTATAGTGGGTTCACAACCACACAGATGGGAAGAGAGAGGTGCTAAAATGCAGATGCATGCATGCAAGTAGAATTTATCACTTCTTGACAAAACGTTATAGTAAAGTCCTGCAACAAAAGACAAGCAAGCTTTCCATGTCATGAAAAAACTGAAACCCTGCAGTGAAACATTTTGATGATATTGGTTAATGCATAGTAGCCTCGTGAGACCATCCGAGCTTTCAAGATTTCACTTGCTAATCAGTCTGGCTACTCTCCGTTGAAGAAAATTTGGAGCTGTTCACCAAACGAACGTCCAATTAGCGTTGGCTTTGAGGCGGTTTGAGGTGTGACACAACGAAAAGCTCGACAGTTCAGTCTAAAGAACATGGCGGCTTCAGCCGATGAAACTAGCGTTAGCGTGGCTATCGAGCAAGTTTTATCAGAATTACAGAGTATTTCTTCACTGAAAGAAGAGCAAAACACTGCTCTGGAGGCTTTTCTCAGAAGAAAAGATGTTTTTGCTCTTCTCCCGACTGGTTTCGGCAAGAGTTTGATCTATCAATTGGCTCCTCTTCGTCGTCGCTCTGTTAGTACGTCATATGCTTCATTGATCTATTTGGCCTGTCTATCACCAACATAGGCCAATCAGCTAACCCGTATTTTCGCCCCTTCCCAAAGTTACTTCAGCGGAAGGTTTCCAGATGGATATGCGGAGCAAATCCATCTGGCGGAGTCAGGTTAAATGCATAGTAAAATCAAAATAAAATCGCAATTTCAATATTGGTTTAAAATAATAGATTTTATTTTATTTTTTTTCAAATCCATCAGCCCTAAATCCGTCCAAAGATTTTACATCCATTTCTTGTTAAAAACAAAAACACTGTTTTATGGATTATGAGTTGTTTTAAGGCAAAAGTCTTACTTGGTCTTAACCACTTGTGACCTAGCTGCAACCTCTGGTCCAACTTACCTGAGTTTATATTAAAGCGAGGACATAGAAAATGCTATCTACTGCAGGTTAGAGATAAACTTATAACATTTAAGCAGAACCTAACTTTAAACATCCTGAACTATCCGTCTAAGTCTATGCAATCAAAAAGACATTAAAAATGTCTGCCAATAAAAAACTAATTCATTCATCAACCACCCACCCAATGAAAATTCGAATACATTTTTTTATATTAAAGTTGACACAAAACATTCCATGTCTTTTTATTGACACAGATACTGTACCTACAGTAAAGTCTTTGTAATTTTACAATGACACCAAATGGGCTTAATAGACTCCTATCTTGTTTTGACTGAAATTTCAGAGTAAACATCCTAATATGGACATGGACATCCACTTCAGCCCAATGACATTTAAAACCCGGGCATAATCTTAATTTGTCCACTCGCCCAGAGCACTAGGCTCAAGTAACAGAGACCCAATTTGATTTTGAATGTTGCCACTATGCTGCTTCTTTCCAGGAAGTAGGACGGATGCACCTCTTGATGAAATGTGAGAAACATCACCAAACTGTATGCATGGATGTAATTATCTGCTTTGAATAAAATCTGAACATTAGGTTTATCTGTTACAAAGGCATAGTCGGTGAGTGGGGAGTGTTATGCTGTTAGAGTGTAATACTCTTCAGCAGGCCTGCAGGCTCAGTAGGTGAGTGTCTACTTCACTGTGTGCTGTCACGAAGCCAGACAGACAGATTCACCGTTAGAAAGGCGAATATTAATCAGGTCCCGGCTCAGGATGCATTGGTATTGAAGCAGATGGTATCTGACAAACAGGATCTGCATGGCCACAACTCATCTATCTATATATGCATCTATGTATCTATGTATCTATGTATCTATCTATCTATCTATCTATCTATCTATCTATCTATCTATCTATCTATCTATCTATCTATCTATCTATCTACACATTTATCTATCTAAAATACAGTCAAGATGTGCCCAAAAGTTCTACAATTTTGGTCAGACAGGGCTCCACTAAGTGCAACCAAACCTATTCTTCACAGGACTTAAGGAATTTTATCATTGCAAATGGAACAACACAAAAGTTACATTTCATTAACCTTTGTCCAAGCATTTCTTAATCATTCATGGAAAAGAAAAAGAAAACAAAATCATGGGGGCAGCAAGTTTGGGTGGAAATGGTGTGTGGGTGTGTGGAGGGCGCAAAGGAGGATCCCTACTTTACAAAGTTTCATCTTAAATGTTAATGTATAATATAAAAGTATATTAGGTCTCTACTAGTGAATTGTTACTTTAAACATCCCGTTAAGAATAGTAACAATCAGGGAAATCCGACTATCTTGTTTGGCTGTATTCTTGGAAACTTGGAAAGTTGGGTAATTATCCCACCGAACTTCATACAGCTTTTATCGAGTTTATGCTTTACCTCTTACTGCAGAAGAGAGACAAGTAAAATAACAAAACCTTTTTGCTTGAACTAATCTCGATGTGGCCCCCTTCCCTTCGGGAGTAGATTTGCACAAAAGAATAAGTGCAATTAATAAAAAACGCCATTCTTAATTACTTAAAGGCGTCTGTTTTCAAGTGTTTTCCGGCAACAGATTGTATGCGGTAAGAAAAATAAAAGTGTGAATAAAATAGTTTAAAATAAGAATAATTCTTAAAATTCTTAAGCCGAAACCTATAAATAAATGACTTCCATTGGATTTTATGTAGTTTCGCTTCGTAATAGTGCCCTCACTTCAAAAAATGTACAAAATGTATAAAAGACTGTGATTCTTATGGAGTTCGGCAGACTGACATCATCGCGGCTCAAGTGGAGTTTGACGCCCAGTGGAGGCAGGGGCATCGAGGGGATTACGTCTCTTACCTGTGACATTTGTGGTCGGAGGTTGATCTCCTTCAGGTTGATGCACTGGGGCTTCAGGTTGTTGAGCAGATGGCACAGGAGGACTCCATCCCGGAGGGTCTGAGCCAAGTCAAATACCTGCGCTGACTCCCATGTCACCCTGTGGCTAGCCGGGAGCACCTTGCATTCGATCAGCCACAGCGCGCACTGCCTCCAGTACTCCATCATTATTCTGTCTTCGTCCGGAGCGCGTTTGTTTCAGGTCTACCTGGAAATCAAACTGCTAACGGTCCGGTTACACCTCAAGCCGTTTTCTCTTTTTCCTTGTTTTTTTAACAGATCGGACCCATGCCAGAGCAGCCCGACTGGAAACCCGATGGGAGGAGAGGTGAAAAAGCGCCAGGGAGCCTCTGGATGCGGACGGTGCGCTCCACGGATGACAGTCCGGTGTGGCGAGCCTGAAGCTGTGTTGATGGAGCGCGTCCTGCACCCTTCCTCTCTCACTTACGCTCTCTCTCCCTCTCTGTTTCTCTTCCCTCCCCCTCACCCAGTTCCTCACCTCTTCCGCTTGCCAAACGGGCTCATTGAACAATTACAGTAGAAGAAACAACACGACTTCCCCTTTGTAAGGTGAAATCAGCATGGGTTATTTCTAATGACATTGTATAAAGCAAACTGCTGAATATTAGAGATAATATTTTAAGTATGTTTGCATGCTCCAGTTGCAAATAATCGTTCAACGAACCAAGCATGAACCACTTTCCCTTATCTATCTATCTATCTATACCTCCCAATAAATATGTTATTAAAATGAAGTGAAACTCATATTTTATGTTGATGCATTTGGACACCATGTGAACTATTTCTAGGAACTGAATGAATATCTTCCTGCAAATGATAGCCCAATCTCGTTTCTCAAAAAAAAAAAGAAGTCAAAACCTAATGTGTGAGTAATTAAAAGAAACATTTATTTTGTATATAAACAAATGTCTCATATATGTGGTCAACACAATCACAGAAAGATTACTTGACTAAACAGCTTTTTTACAGAGTACTCATCCAAATACATATATGGAAAGTTGAGTGGAAGGAAAACCTTTCACTAGGAAAACAGAGCATGGCGTTTGGTTTAGTCTACATGATGCGCTGTTATACACTATACTGCATAACCACTATAAAGCTGCTTTGATTCACATATAAGCCTCTAAATATAAGCAGATATATGATCAAGCCACAGGACTGTACTCTGTTGTCCAATAATTAAACTCTCTCATTGCTTAAAACACAGTTCCAAAACACACCATAAGTAGGTGTATGTCAACTTCTTAATTTTAATATTTTTTATTCTCTTATATTATCTGATATTAGTCTAGTAATTTAAAAAAATCTTAATTATATTGGTTAAACCTGAAAGCAATTGAAACTAGAGAAGTGTATTATAATCTAACGTTTAATTGAAGAAAAATCCTCCAATTATTGTAAAATTAGTTATTAAAAGAAACTAAACAGCTGCCCAGGAAACAGGGAGGTCATTTAACTATTACATGGCAACTGTTTACAGAGTACTCATCCAAATACATATATGGAAAGTTGAGTGGAAGGAAAACCTTTTACTGGAAAAGATTTTTGTGGCCTAAACAAAAAGTATTTCCAACCAGCATAGTATATGGATTCAATGTTGTTTTGGGGGTCATTTGATATGAAAATACTGCTTTAACAGACCATGGCGTGTGGTTTAGTGTACATGATGTGCTATTATACGCTATACTGTATAACCACTATAAAGCTGCTTCGATTCACTTATAAGCGATGAAGCCACAGGATTTGTGTACTCTGTTGTCCAAAAATTAGAGTCTCTCATCGCTTAAAACACAGCATACTTCTGAATTTTTATATTTTTTATTATGTGATATTAGTCTAGTAATTTACAAAAAAATCTTAATTTTATTGTTTAAACCTGAAAGCAGTTGAAACTAGAAAAGTTTATTATAATCTAGCGTTTAATTGAAGAAAAATCCTCCAATAACAATAAAATTAGTAATTAAAAGAAACATTTATTGTTGAGAAACAAATGTCTCTCTGTGGTCACATATGTGGTCAACACAATCACAGAAAGAATATTTCACTAAACAGCAGTCCAGGAAACAGGGAGGTAATTTAACTGTTACGTATAAGCTGTTTACAGAGTACTCATCCAAATACATATATGGAAAGTTGGGTGGAAGCAAAACCTTTTACAGGAAAAGATTTTTGTGGCCTAAACAAAAAGTATTTCCAACTCGCATAGTATATGGATTCAATGCTGTTTTGGGGGGTCCTTTGATATGAAAATACTGCAATAACAGAGCATGGTGTGATAGATGGGTTCCAACATGATGTGCTATTATATGCTATAACCACTTTAAAACTGCTTGGATTTGCTTATAAGCCTCTAAATATAAGCAGAGATATGATCAAGCCAGAGGATTTGTATATCATTCATTTTTAGGTAAGAGGAAGATGTTTTTGTCATTCTTTCAAAGTCCATGTCTTTGGTAATGTCAGGTTAATTTGTTACAAATGATGCAAATAAGTACTGGAAACATTCTAGCATTGTTGAATCTTTGCATGCTCTACAGCAGTCCATCTGAGGTGTGGAGCTGCTAAAAGTGGCATACTGCAGAGGTAGGGTGCTAACATTTTTTCGGTCAATGCTGGAAATACCAACAGGAAGTCAGTTCTGGTCTGTCCCAACAGGCAGAAGTCAGTCCCAATGGAAAATTAATGGAGTCGGTTTCAATCCAGGGAGTTTAGGTTTAGATGTCTCATCCATCAAAATTAAGATTAGGATTATCTCTCTGTGGAGGGAATTAAATTAGGTTAGATATTAAATGTACTGACTTTAGGTTTAAGTTTTTTCTAATATCTCAGATGTGATTTTTTTTTTTTTTGTCTGCTTGTTTTACAGAACTTTATTGGAAAATATAGATGATCATATAAACAGCGATTAGTGTTCAAATAATCTCTACAAACAGCAGACAGGTGTCATTTATCTAAAAAAAAAAAAAAAACAAAGCTTAAATTAAAATATCTTCAAATTATTTACGTTTTTAAATTAAATAATTTAATGGAAATGGCCACATAAGCCAATGTGCACTTCTGATGCAGGATTTCAAAATGGTGGTGCCCTGACCCAGTGCGGTCCCTGTCTGGACTGTTGGAGTTGCTCTGTGTATTCATACTGTAACATCAGGAAGTAACATCAAATCTACGTCAAGGGGCTTTTTTTAATCAGACTTTAAAATAGTGCCTCAAAAAAATAGTTGTATAAAACAAAAATGAATGTCATGATATAAGTCATGGTGGCAGCTTGAAAATAGGAAGTGAAAGTCATCCAAAAAATAGAGTACAGCCCTGCATCATAGCAGAGGTTTCAAGTACACTTAAGTACACTTTTGAGGTATCTATACTTTACTCCATTACTTATTTTTCTCTACTCATTCCATTTTCACACAAGTATCTATACTTTCTACTCCTTACATTTTTAAAACAATCATTACTCGTTACTCTTGGCTTCGGTTTAATGTTTATAAATATTTATTTCACGTCATGTCCTCCATCCAGTGCAGATCACTAGTGTAATTGGATGAGTCATATAATGCAAACGTCAAATTTGTTCTGACACTAAAGGAAATCATCAGAAGCAAGCAGGTGTTCTTCAAACTGCAAACGTGAATTGTCTATGCCATGCTACAATTTCGGATTCAGAAAAAGATGTTGAAATGTCTGAAAGGTCGGACACAGGAGAGAGCGTATCGGGAGACGGAGACCAACAAGACCTCCCTCATTCTTGGCCCTGTCTCAAAGAATTTTTTGAAATTGTCAAAAAATTGAGCTTTAAAATTATTTTTTTAAAGGTTACTTTATACTTTTATACTTTCTGTAGTTTTTGGAGCGCATACTTTTGCACTTTTACTTTAGTAAAAGAGGTCAAGTTGATACTTTTACCAAAATGTTTTTAAACTGCAATATCTATACTTCTACTTTAGTAACAAAGGTGTGTACTATTGACACCACTGCATTATAGAGATCAGCCTGGGACTGTGCCAAGTTAGTAAGGAAGTCAAGGTTGCCTTACCCCATTTTTCAACTAATCTCCATGTTGAGTCTGGTCTTTTTCATCTATAAATAGATTTTTGCTGGTTTCAGATAAGGAAGCGTTGTTGACTAATCAACCACACTGATACACATACATTTATTATAGCAATACAGTTCAAAAGGTGGGACTTATATACATATACAAGACAATAAATCATAAAAAAAAGACTCAAATCAACCTGCATTATCTTGTATTGTATTGCATTACAGCTAAAGTTAAAAAGTAAACAAAGTTATTCACAGGTTGATGCAAAACCAGGGAGCACACAGAGTTTGCTGACAGTTCTGGTCAATTAAACAAAGTAATCATTTTAAACATCCCTATTTTCCCTATTTATACATAGTACAGGTGAATCGAATTAACTTAGAATATTCATAGAAAAATTAATTATTTGTTTAAATAAACTGAAAAAGTGACACTCATAATTCATATTAAAGAGATTTGTGATTATGTAAAATTTTACTGAAAAATATCTTCAAATAGCTGTTTTATATGAGCCTTTACGAATAAAACATTGTTTTATGAGCAGACTGACACCTCAGTAGTTCAGCACCGATGCATCTATAAGCATGTAGCCTATTTTCCCTGAATTTACTTTGGGTTGGAGGTTCCCACACTGTTCAGCAGATGTGATGTCCTGTCCATCCAAGTTAAAAAATTTTAGAGAACTTTTTAGTTCTGGTCGATTTTGGCTCCCCCCAGTGGTCAAAAGCTGTATTGTTTGCCTAAAGGAAGACAGCATTTCCCATGAGAATCAGGACATAGTTCTGATTTTTGGGTAAATTACAATAGAATTTGTGTACAGACTATTTATACAGTTACTTTGACTTCATATGGAATTTAAGGTTTTATATATATATATGGAAATTAAATGCATTTTATGGTCTTTTTATGAGAGTTAGTTGACCGAAAATGGGATTGATGCAGGAAGGCTCATTGGTCCTGGACACATCATGGACTAATGGGGTCGACCTACGAGGAGAGCATTTATCGCAGGGTTGAAACCCAACACACAGGATGCAATAGCAAATGCAGTATTTCCAATCAAGCTTTTGAGTCACATGTCTTCAAGAAATTTAATTGGTTGTGAAATTTGAGTTGTTTTGATGTTTTCAACACAATGATTGTCAGACAAGGGGAGACCAGGGATGGCAGCCCACTGTTCCCTAAGAGGACGGGTTAAATGCAGATAGTTCATTTCGTTGCTGTGTACTTGTGACAGTGTAGTGACAATAAAGGAAAAACAAAACAAAAAACAAGATGAAGAGTCAGAAAAATAGGGTAATTCGTGATTGCATTAAGGAACAAAAAAAAAGGAAAGGTTGTACATGGCTAAAAGAGGCCAAACAACTGTCGCCTCATCATAGGTGCTTCGCCCTGTGTCATTGCCACACTCAGTAGAAAGTGTGGCAATTGCC